CTTATTATTAGCTAGTACTGAGTTGAAGGAATTTGGCAGCCTGGTCAGGTGACTTATCTGCCCCCTTACCCAAGTCTTTTTAGTAACAGGAAAACCATTAATCTTTAAATTAATATAGGTTTATTGTAACAAAGTTTCTACTATGATATTATATTAATAAAAAAAAAAATAAAATAAAATAAAATAATAATAACTAATAATAACACTCTTTCCAATGATCTTTTATACCAAAATCACAACAAACTTTTTTTTCAAAAATATAGTAAACTATAGTAGAAAAGAAGGAAATAAAACTGGTCAAAACTATAAACCGGTATCTGTTATTTAGAGATAGTTCTCATATGCTACTTGCTAACAAACCCAGAGCTTATCATTTATTATGAGGATAGCACTTGTTATTTAGAAGTAGTTTTCATATACTATTTGCTAACAAGTTTAGGGTTTATTACCTACTAACAAAAAAATTAGCAGTACACTTGGCTTTATATAATTTATTAGCTTTAAAAAAAATATATATTCCTTTATTCCTTTTGACATCAATTTCATACAAAAGGATATTTATTTCGTACAAAATAACATTTAATTTCAAACAAAGTGATATTTGATTTCATACAAAATGATATTTAAATTCATACAAAGTAATATTCAAATCTGTACAAAATAACAATTAAAATAAGTTTAATTTAATCACAATATCTTGTGATATAGTAGTCCAATATAGAAAATTTTGGTACTACAATAATACCTCCCTAAGTGCACCCTCTCTAAGTGCATACCCTCTTTAAATGCACACTATAGCCCAGTCCCAAGCTCGGGACTTAGTGCTAAGTACACACCTCTATGTTCTACACGTGCATAGGTTTTTACTGCCCAGACCTATGCGTGCACCCCCATAAGTGCACTCACATAATTAAGAACCAATAAAATTCAAGATCATATCTCATTGATGGACAGGTAATTAAATGTCATAGAAGGATCATCTTTTTTAAACATGAATTACAACTTTTCAACTCAATGCTTTATTCAAAGTGCCAATATTTACCTTGTGAGTCGAAACAAGAAGTTTCTATTGTATAACCTAGCAATGATGGGAAGAAATTTACTCAAGTTTACTTAAACATATTTAATCACTAATTTTAACACACTAGACATATGCATTTATAAAGGCTCTTTGAAATATTTATACAATTTTTATTTTTTTATTTTACGCAAAATAATCTAACGATATTCTTTCAGGTTCTATTTTCTAATTTTTCAGGTTTTTCAAATCAAAGGCCATTGAATTATTTATTGAAAAATTACAATAGCAATAAACAAGAAAAAAAATAGTTTGCTATTTACAAAGAAAATATTAAAATAACTATTTTTTTATTATTCTGTAAAATAGTCATTAATCTTACTTTGCTATTGCCAGTTCATTTTTTTTTTTAAGAAATTTTTCAATTTTTTTAACGGTCTTAACATACTCATTTGCTTCATCTTGTTGAAGCAAAAACATAGACACAGTCTCCAAGCTTGTAATCACCGTATCGATGTTAATTAAAGGGATTTCAATGCTGTTATCATCTTCCGAATCATCACAAGCTAAATCGACTAGCTTGAAAGTTTTTATAAGTTTTTCAATAACTTGGTCATTTGCGGGAATTTCGTAAACAACATCTTCTGCAGGGATATAAAAGGGACCATTTTATAAGAGCTGTCAGCATTTGTGCATAATGCAATTGAAAGACATTCTCTATCTACTTTGTGCCCAGAAAGACGTCGAGTTACTAATGATCAATTGGGTTCTAATCTATAAAGTAAGTTTTAGTAATTAATATACATTTTCAAAGGAAAATAGAATCATTGATTATTTAAATAAATAATTAATGCCATGTATATGATTCTTAATCGTGCGTATTAATGCGCATTAATTTTTATCCTATCTAAATTTTATTTCTGAAAATTATATTATGTGCATTTTATACAATATGTGCATAAATGCGCATGTTATTAGAAAATGCACATTTTTCCATTACTAGACACTGTATCCTTTTTTTTTTTTTTTTGCAGCATACAAATGTATTAATAAAGCTTATACCTAAAAAAAAGCCCTGTCTCATCTATGTTATAGATTCTTTCGATAGGATAGTTGGAACACTTGTTTCTTAGAGCAGGTAAGGTATTAATAATAGCTACTTCATCTGCTGACTCTGCTTCCCCTTCAAGTTTACGTTGACGAATATTGTTTCAATCTTTAAACTTATCAAGCCAACTATGAGAAAAGTTCAACACACCCTCAGGAATTCTCAAGCCATTGGCAAGTAGTTTGGCTTTTTCGACAAGTATTGTATCACTTAAAATCGTTTTATTTTGATAAATTAGCACAAATTCTTTTAGGGCTTGGTCAAGTTCTGGGTATATTACCACTCTATGACGCTTGGCATTTGAATTAATAATTTGAGAACTAATTCGTTCATCTTTTTTTTTAAAAATACATGAAATTGTGCTTTCATCAACTCTAACACCTCATTGTTGTTCTATCCAATCAACATACTGGGATCGAGTCAATTTATTGTCATAAGCATATACAAAGTTCACGTTTTTAGGAATCTGTAAGGGTAGTTCTTTTGAGCATTTTACAAGATTGTACTGCAAAAATTACGATTAATAAAATTATTTCTTTACATAAAAATATTACTTTTAAGATTTAAGAATCTACAACCAGAACCAAGGTTCTGGCTGTGCTAACCATGGATCATTTAATGAGGCTGTGCCCTTAGAAGTATTATTTGAATAATGTAGCTTTATTTAAAACAAGTCATCACTTGATTGTAATTTTAAATTATCATAACTTTGAACCATGGCTTTGAATCGAATTTAATTTAAGCTTAGCTTTAAGCCATGGATGAGAGCTATGCTTTTAACTTGAAGCTATGGATTAAGGCTATGCTTTTGACTTAAATCTGGTTGGTTTCAAGTTGTGGCTTTTGCCTAAACTGCTTTCAACATTTGTTTTAGTAAATATGTTCATATAAATTTTATATACAATGCATTAATCTTACAATAACAACTAATTTAAAATTTTTATAGCACAATAGCGAAATGAATTAAAAATTTAGAAATTCAAAGCTGCATTTTTGATATTGAATTTATTGAATTAATAAAGGCATTTAATCCTTAAAAATAAAATAGCAAATATTATTAAAATACCATAACAATAAATACTCCTCAGATATATAAGATAGTAAAAAAAGAAAAATAAATAATCATTCTTTATGTATCTCATCTTAACTCAGAAAGAACAGAATATTTACACAATTTAGCTCATGTATTGTAATAAATTAATATAAACATACGTAGTATATACGTGCATTTAGATAAGCCCTAGAAGGTATATACATATATATACTGTCATTAGTGCATAACCTGAGTTCAAAGAAAATTTTACCTGTATAAAGATCCACATATAGATTTTAAACACTGGGTATACAGTAGTACCAAAATATATATATTTTTTATTATGGATATTTAATTCTTGATTCTGATTGGCTAATCAGATACCCCTTCTAAATGCACACCCTCTCTAAGTGCACACTTACACCCAGTCCCAAGGGTGTGCACTTAGAGAGGTATTACTGTATTCAAATCCTCTTGATAAGACTATTTAAATGATACTAAAATCTTCTACATTGGACCATTGTATCACAAGATATCGTGATTTAGTCAACCTTATTTTAATTGTGATTTTGTACAAATTTAAATATTACTTTGTACAAAATGAGAGATATTAAATTGTAGTGAATAAAATCATTAAGCCGTAAGTAAAATTTTCTATCTATTAAGTGAAGAGGGATATTTTTTTGGTAGAATGTAATTATAACTAATGGGTTTGGGGTATTTTGTTGTATCTATTTTTGGTTTGGTTTCCAAATTTCTTTGTGTATATTCTTAGTATTTATATAATAGAATAGCTTAGTGAAGGATGTGGAGTATAAATTTGTTAGATTATATCTGGTAGGTAGTAATCCAGTTTGCAAATTTTCATTCATAGTAGTGAAAAATAATTGTCTAGAATATTCCAGTGAGGGTCTAGTAATTAGGAAGATTAAGAAGATAAGAAGGTATGCCTTAAAAATTAAAGTGGTTTTGTAGTTCTGTGATAGTGCTTTCAATTTTTTCCTGTTCAGTAATTGGAATGAAATTATGTAATAAAGATTTGTTTGCTCGAGGTAAAAAATAATTTCTAAGATTTAAGATAAAAGTGAAGATTTTTCTGAAATATTCAGAGTAATCTGGATTTTGATCCATACGCTTGAAATTTGGTAGAAGAAGTAGTATTCTTTCAAGAGTCAGGTGGTATCAACTAGAGCTTTGGGTTTTCTGATTGGTATTGTTAGGTTTATTTTAGTAATAAAAATATGTTCATTAGGGAGTGAAGGTTTATTTGTAGGGTTGACAGTCATGTAAATGAGTGAGAGTGGGATATTAAATTTATATTTGTCTTAGATCTCTGCTATGAATTCTTTAGCTTGGTGAGTATTAGAGATAGGAAAGTTATAAGTTGTAGTCATCTTAATAGCATATACAGTCTTACCTCTTTATAATCACACAGTTGGGACCATAGTAATTTTTTTAAAAAAATGTACTTATAAAGAGGTGTGCTTATGTAGAGGTTTTTATATATATATTAAATAGTAATTGGGCTCAAATAGGGTGTGATTATAAAAAGGTTTTTATATGATGTGATTATATGGGAGGCGATTATAAAGAGGGAAGACTGTAGATCTACTGGAAGTAGTTTCTTTTGCACAAAGAAATTATTAGAAATACAATAAAAGCTGTAGTGTTCTTTAAAAGTATTGACATATCTACAAAATTTTGAAGCATCAGTTGGATTATAGGGGAACAGGTGGCAAATGGCTGAGATAAGATTTTGAGAAGTTAATAGAAGTCTGGGTTTTGCTTCTGGTAAGTTAAAGTAATTGGGAGAAATTCTTTTTACTATGTAGTATTGCATTAATTTTAAGCAGTAATCGAAGAGAAATAGCAATCTAGCCTATTCTGTAATTGGAAAAAGGTTCTAGATTTCAGTATGAAGTTTAGCAGAATCATCTGGCAGTAGTTCAAGAACAGTAAGAAAGTAGCTATCAGAAAGCTTTTTAAAGATAAAAATATTTTATAGAGCTAGTATAGTTGCTTGAGTAAGTTTGCGATCTTGAATTAGTAGTGGAAAGGGGAGAATTTGTTGAATTGGTTGATCTATCTCAAGTGGGTCTTGAAGTAAAAAAATAAGTAGTGTTGAGTAGGCCTCATTGATCAAGCTACATAGCTCTTTGAAACTAAGAGTATAGTTTATTTGTGTGAAGTTGAGACAGTAAGTAATTATTTGTGTACAATTATGTGGGCTAGTGGTAAGGAAGTCTGTATTACAAATGAAGTTTAAGGCTATTTTGGCTTTGAGTTTTGTAAAGATTTAATTTCTGTTGAATTTGTTTATAAAACAAGCATTATATAGCCTTTTATATCTTTTTACTGCTATTTTTAATAATAAGTTGAATTCCTTTTGATGTTGTGATTGGGTTTCTTTGTTTTTCATAAATGATCAAAAGAAAGCCAAGTCCAAATATTCCAATTTTGTTTTAATTGCATTTGGTAAATTATATTGAGTTGGATTAGCTTAAATTTTGTATTAAAAGAATTTTAAAAGTAGCTCAGATGATGAAAAGGCATTAATAATCGTATTGTTGTCTCAGACTATTGTATTGAAATTTAGTATATGTGCTTTTGCTAGTGCAATAGTAACATAGTTATACCAAGTAAGTGAGCAATCATCTTTAGTATATTTCATTTTTGGAAGATTAGAGGTAAGTGCACTATTATACGTCTTCTTTGGAGATGTAAAAGATTCTGTAGTTGCATTAGATTGAGTATTCATGTAGTCATCTATGTCTTTTTTTGATTGGGTTTGTTGTATAAGGTTGTTAGTAATTAGTAATTTTTGGACTGAGCTCCAGGGGTTGTCTTGGATAAAGTTCTGAAATAGATTGAGTGTGTTGTGATGATTGGTTACTATACTTGTGATCTGGGATCCTAAGGTATTTGCATTATTTCCTATACTTGTTTGTTTGTTTGGATTATTTCCCATGCTACTTTGTTTCCAATATACCTTTACCTATACCCAAACAACTCCACTTTATCTCTATCTCTACTACACTAGCTATGAAAGAATCCAATGATACCACTTTACAAGAACATATACTCTATCTTCAATGTTCTCAAACTACACCTAGCAAACCTCTTTACCAATATTTAAACAACCACAATCTACCTTTAAAACTTCAACATTCCACAATCAACCTTTATATTCTAATACCAAATCCCTAGAAAACTCTTTTGCTATAATAGAAATTAATGACAACTCTATTTCTTCAAAACCCAAACAAAATTCTTACACTACAAACCAACCTTTTATGCAATTATTTTTACTTCTCAAAACTTTATTACTCCAACAACCACCCAAACAAATTTTATCTTAAAAAAATCTTATTCCAAACTAAACCCCACTTTTGACTAGCTATCTCACTACCCAATTACTAACAATATAAAGAACAATACCAAACTTCAAACACTCTTTGCTCAACAACTTTACAAATTTCTTAAAAAACATCTTCACAATTTCTACCCTAAAAGTATTATTAAAACTGCCTTAAATAACAAACAACTACTCAAAGCAAGTTTCTACTATATAATTTGAATTATGGCTGATAAAAAACCTAACTTCTTAACAACTTATATCTTCCAAACTAACTCTACAATTAACAAGCAAGCAAATATCCTCTTCAATATTCTTGAACAAATCTTTAAGATGATTATCTTCAAATTTATTAATATTCTTTTCTTTAAACTTAACTATATTGAAATCTTCTTGTTATCTGCTACTATCTCTCCCTATAAATCTAAAAATTACCTCTAATTTTGCCTTAATCTGGTCTGTCTACATCTCTACCTCTTTAACAACTACCAAGCTATTGACTACAAAAAATTTACAAAGAACTTGAAACTATGTTCCAAAACATATTCACTATCCTCTCACATAGTTTGTACAAACAAAAATGAAAAATACCTAACAATTAAATCTAATACCAAATTCAATATTTAACTACTTTTTAACTTACTTGAGTCTCTCTTTAAAAAACAATTCTCTATCCTATTACTCAAAAACTTATTTAATTATTTTAAAAAATAGTTTGAAGGTTTTTTTTTCTATTTACAACTGGCAATTCAAAACATCTCTCAACAAAGATAATACCAAAAATATCCTCAAGTTTCAAATTTGGCACCAATTTATCTTCCAACTCAAAAAACTTTTACTACCACAATTAGATATCTTTACAACACTTTTTAGCTATAAAGACAAATGTGATGAGTGCTTCTGTTATCTTAACTACTACATTCTTACCTGCAAACATGATAATTG